AATTTTAGTGTTATAAAGCTTATAATAGAAAAATAATATGTATCCATTATAGGATCTTTATAAACATTTTTAAAGCCCCACAAGTTATATAGAGCTACTTCCCCAAACTATTTGCAGCTAATAGCTCTTTATGTGTTGCTCTGGATAATTTGTGTGTGTATATAAGCATGTGAACAATGTATGGTTAAAGGAAAATCTTCCTTTAACTTGATCGTATTGTGAGAAATCAACAGATGTATGAGAAGAATACTTTATTAAGGGATGAAATGGGGGATGCTCACATTCACGAATACAGTGGGAAACAACACTGTTGCCTCTTCATCCACCATGGAAGGGTAGGGAATACTCCTGAACAGCATATCTGGAAGCCGGAGAGTATGTGACATAACCTCCCACCCTCATCTCAGTTCTTAATCCAGTCATGTATCAGAGAAAGCTAAGCCCATGACAACTCACCTCCAAATGTCATTGGCCAAATGGATCAAGCTCCCACAACACCAGGCCTCTCCAGAAGCTTTCTTTAATGAACCTACAACAGATAAATTAATAGGAAAAAAAGACATATTTTTGTTTGGCTTTGAGATAGGCTTTTACACCTACACTGGCTCAAACTTGAGATCTGACTTTGTTAGCCTCCTGAGTGTAGAATTACAGGCATCATCCACCATGTTAGGTAGTACATATAAACTTACTCTGTTCAGTGGTGTCTAACAGGAGAAAGATTTCCTACCTGCCATGGCAGATTTAGGCGGCCTTTTCCATTTAGGTGGTGAGGCAATGTGAACCCTTCTGATGGGTAGTTAAGAGGTTTTCTTTCAGGAGAATGGAGTGAATTTGGAGGAGAAATACTTATTATTCCACTTATCTCTGGAATTTGAGTGCATCCAAAGGCCAGACTTCTGTGCACAGCGTTCTGTCCGTGCAGGCTGGGGCCATCTGTATCCTCCATGTTAGCCATGCAGTTTCAAGGTGGTAGTGGAAAGTAATTGAGTTCTGTCAGATCCAAAATTAACATGCTTGAGCTAAACAAGGCCCCTTCTAGAAGTCTTCCTTAGAAAGAGGACCCAAAGATAAGGCTTGGAAGCAGCATGGCCTGCAACCTTGATTTCCACACTGTTGCTGTATAACACACTGCGGTGTTATTCATGCAGCCCGAACACCATCCCGGAACACCAGTGCAGTACAGAGTAAAATACACAGAAGCTGCCTGGAGTGAGACTCAGCAGTTAAGAGCGCTTGCTCTTGATCTGAGTTTGTTTTCCACACCTACATGGTGGCTCATAGCTGTCTGTAACTGCAGTTCCAGGTGATCCTCAATTTTCTCTGGCCTCCAGTGACACCTCATGCATACGGTGGACACATATACAAGCAGGCAAAACACTAATACATTGAAAATAGCAATAAATTTAGTAAAAATAAAATATAACCTTGTTTACTGTTTATGATGAACATTTATCATTTGTTGCATCAGTTCTCATGGATCTGCTGATTTACTTTTTTAAAAAAATATTAAATTAGTGCTTTTCTCAACAAATGAAGCAATTTGCTCTTCTATGATGACTGTCCTTAAGAAGCGTTTTCGAATATCTTCACATGATTATGTAATTATCTACATAAGAGACAATATTACAGTGCAATCACTCTGTTTATGGCTTTTAGAAACAATTTACCATGCCAGCATGGGAATTCCCCACTGAGGTTTTCAAACACTGGTATAAACCTTGTACTGAAAACAATGCCATCCCACTGTTAACACTGGTATAGGCCAGCATTCAGAAGAGCACTGCCCAAAATGGTGTGGAAAACTCACTTGGCTCCACATCTCCATAAGGTGGACACGTGCTGTGGTGGTCATTGTCATTGCTTGGTGTTCTGTGTTGTAGTCTTTTCAGTTTCTGCTCTGCTTCCATCCTCCGGCCCCTGTGTCTGTCTCTCTAAACTCTGTTTCTCTAGTCTAAGAATAGTGTAACCGCAAGCAGACCTCACCTCATTAATACGGGCAAAGGTTTAAGAAACTCCTTATGGTTTTGCTGCACAAGGTACCTTATGGATCCTGGGGATTGGGACATGAGCATGGCCACCATTTAGCTAATGGTAATTGCCCTCTACAAGAGTCTAACACTATCATAAACCAAGATGACTGTTTGCTGTGAATGGTTCATTTCTTAGGTTTACAATGCATTAGTATAATATGCATTATTTTTCCTTAAAGTATCAGTTCCAAAGAAATCTTTTTGACCCTTAATATCAATTAAAACTTGAGTCATTTTAAATACAGCAAGAGTTTGCTTCTAAAAATACATTTTCTGTAGTTGATATTTTGAGGGCCTCTAGATGTCAAAGTCATCAGGATTTAAAGGATGGTCCACGTGGAAGAGTAGAAGAGCACCCCCCCACATTAGACATTAGATTTCAATTTTAATTCAATTATAGGTTGGAAGAGGAAATATTTGGTTCTATTTAAGTCCTGTTTTTAAATTGGATGAGCGTATACCTCAGCTTAAAACACTATCTATAAATTAATTTGGCATTGTTATATTGTTTTGTGTAAGAAAGAAGAAATGGAGAACAAAAAGATCACATGATTGCTCTTGGTGGGGCATATTGATTTACTTAGACGACACATAGGTCATTGTTGAGTATGTATGGCAATGAGTTCCTGCTTCAATCTAAAGCATACAGGATTTACCGTGGAGCCAATAGTCTCCTACCTGCTTTTACCTGGGTCTTCGTTTGCTGAGTATATTATTTCAGGACCTCATTTTTTAAAGATTAAATATGACACCGTCTGATTAAGTTTGGGAAGGTAAAGAAAGGGCTCTTCACAGTTTGTAAAGGAATGTGCTGATATTCTATAGTGGGGGTGCAAAAGAGCCTTGAATAGACTGAGGCTGTAGATTATGAAACTTAATTGATTGTCTAGAAGTAATGGAATCTTTAAAGCATTACTTATTCATATAATAAACATGTGGCATTCATAGCAATAGTATTAAAAAATACGTCCTCCTGTGATGGCTATAACAGTTAGCATTGCTTTGTAGTACAAAGCAGTGAAGAAATCCACAAAACTTTTAGTTTAGAAAATTAAAATAAAAAAAATCATGTTGTCTTAATAATTGTTTATTAAACACAATTTTGTTAAACTTGATCATGCATGGTCAAAATTAACAATAAATTTATATATTGTGTGTGTGTGTGTCTATAAACTAGACCGTGATGGATCAAAATCAGTAGAGAAAATATATAATTAGATTAATTGAAACAACCAAATTGGGGTTTCTTGATTATTAATCCATTTGTTGAAAGGTACCTATGATGCAGATTTCTTTTTCTAAAATATGGATCGGTTAAATTGTACCCCGTAAAATTCCATAGAAATTTTGGTGCGCAGGCAGAATTTGTAGCATCATGAGATTTTTCTCAGAGTTTCTTTTATTCTTGCTTTTAAACTGGTGTATGTAAGACATGAGTTCAGTTAACTAGAGTCTGGGGTCAGAACCAATTTTCAGGGATGCCTTGGGCTTTCCTCTGAGGCTGTGCCCTGCACTCAGTGAAGTTAACTATGCCAGAGAAAAAGGAAGCTACAAAGATTTCTTACATTAGCATGGGATGGTAATGAGGGAGGCTGGAGTCTGTGACTCACCCAGCTTTTGAAAGCTATGGCAACTCACAAGCATTCCAATAAGACTAGAGGTGACATAAACTACTCTTCTAAGGCCCTGGATGCCCACTGAGTGAACCTTTAGCTCCGTTCCTTATCAGTTTCTTAGATCCAGTCAGTGACTTTAAGACTCTTTCACTGTCTTTGTTGCTCTCCACACATCCTTCATCCTGTTACACAAGCACCTTTAACCCAATGGTCATGATGTCTTCTTTCAAAACCTTATGACAGGCAGCCCTAGAGTCAAAGCAGCGGATTGGTCATTTAATTGAAAGAATCTAGTTTTCCCTTTTTCTTGTGCTTACTCTGGTCAATATTATCTAATATACCAAATTATATATATATATATATATATATATATATATATATATATATATATTCAGTACCATGTTGAGGTTAATGTCTTGATTGAAGATATTTGCTTTATTAGATATTTAGACCTGGTTAGGAAGCTTAAATTCAGAAACAGATCCCTAGAATATTTTTTTTGCTACCCACTGTGTTTCAGTGTTAAAACCTGTTCATTATTGATATATATTTAGAAGTATTTCAGTAAATCTTGTATATACACACTCGTACACACACACACACACACAGACAGACACACAAACACACAATTTAGCAGAAAATTATTTAAATTGATGTAAGGAATTGAGTGGTTGCTAATGAATGTCAATAAATTTTTTCATAATGTAAGTACTCGTATAATCACTTCTTGTGTCATGTGTCTGTATATGTCCAGGTATATGCACATTTGTGTGTGAATTTACGTGGGAACCAGAGGCCAACCCCAGTGCCATTCTTCTGGAGTTATTTTCATTGTTTTTGATGCAGAATCTCTCAGTAGGATATGGAATTCATCCATTCAGCCTCACTGGCTAGCCTGCCAACCCCAGAGATCCTCCTGTCTCCACTTCCTAGGGCTAGAATCATAAGAGAATACCATAAGCTGGACTGTTTCCATGGATGCTGGGAGTTGAGTCCAGTTTCTCATGCTGGCACAGAAAACATTTTATCCACTGAGCTCTCTCTCATGGCCCTGTAATTTGTTATTAATTTTAAAGAAGCTGATTTTTTCATTATCTTCCACTTTTCATGTTTGGCTCTTCATATCTATAGCTATATATAACATTGACACACACACATACATAATACACACACACACACACACACACACATATATATATGACAAGCATTTCCCTTCATGCATATACACATGCTTATTTAATTATTCTTGTTATACAAGATGTGCAGAATTACTGGGTAAATTAAAGTTAGTGACTAATGAGGCAGTGGAATCCAGTTATACATTTAATACTTGTTTCTTCTTTTTCTTTAGATAATCTGGAATCGGCTCTACCTCTCCCTTTATATTGCCTTCGAATATTGCTCATCATCAGAAAGTGACTAGGCTTAGATATACACACCACCCAAAGTGCTCATCTGACAACAGGTAAAACTGTAGTTTTGTTCTGCTTCGCTCGGTTATACTTGCAAATAAAAGGGACAAAACATGGCAGCTTCCAAGTACATACAACATTACAGAATTGTTCACAAGGAAGCATATCATGGAGTGTGTGTGTGTGACTATTGATCAGCTCCAGCTGCTAGTAAGCAAGAGGTCAGAGCTATAGGATGTGCTGTTTTCCAGGGGAAATGAGCTTAGGAATGGATGTATAAAGGAGAATCCACCAGGACGAGAGCTGACTTCTTAGGAAAACTCTTAAGAGCCAGAAGAGCCCTGGAGCTCAATAATTCAACCTAGACAAATGTACCCAGAAAAAGTACCTGCCAGAGTAGAAGGAGAAAGAAAAGCTTTCTATGATATAGGCAGCCTAAAAATTTTGATATCAACATAAAACACTAAACAGAATATTGGGAGCAATATATGTGTTTGTATGTGACCTTTTTTCACTAGTTGTTGCTGTATGCATATTTGTATGTGATATACATTCCTAAATAGAATTTTTATACCTATATAATGCTACATGTATGTTTGAGGTCATTTGAGACTGGGCAGTTGGTGGTGTAGGGTTGAAGTGGGAGCATCAATTCATAATAGAGACTACCGTGTTGGTTAATATGTTCCTTGCTTTTGTGATGGAATGGAAAGATATTAAATTAGGTCTTTGGTAGTGTTCCTTTGTATGGAAATCGTGTTTCCTCTTTGGTGAATGAGTGTTAAGATCTTGGTTTTCTATTTGCACGGTTTGTCTGGTTGTAGATCCTTGGAACGGGCTTAAGGGTTCAGTCTTGAATGGGGTCTCAAGTGGCCCTAGCTCATCCCAGGCAGATGGGGAAGACCTATGCAGATGGAGAAAACGCTCACAGATAATCCTCAGTGGTAGATGGTAGGTGCTTCCGACTTCTCTTCAAGCAGCTGGAGTGAGTGAAGTGACTGTGGGTGTCTGAGGTCCCAAACTGGGAGTGCGAAGAGCAGGCAAGCCCAGGACAGGGTCCTCAAGGAAGCTGCAGCTGTGGATGTGTTGGTGGCAGGAATCTCTCATCTCTGCATGGAGGGGAAGGGCCAGCCAGCAGAAAAGGAACATGTGACCCTCAGGCAAGTTGTGGGAGGAAGCAGAGCTGGTGGGGAAGGGATGAGTCTGGTGTCCCTACCTGGAGGAAGGGTGTGCATAATTATGCCTTTAAAAATCACGGGGAAATGAATCATGAAATTTTATTTCTAAGTGTTTAACTTATCAAGTGTGACAAAGACTGCAATTATTTGAATTCGTGGATTAGTAGTGAAAGACAGTTTCATTTCCTTTCTGCACTCTGGAAAATTCCAGGGCCGCGTCTTTAGTCTTTACTCCTACAAGAAAAAGCTGTTTGCTCCATAGCAGCTTCCTCCAGTGAGTCTTCAGGTTTTCTTTTATAATTTTCAAGCAAGAAGGAAATTGGTAACATCACAATTTAATTTAAAAATGTTGTAATGAGCTCAGATTCTTAAGACAACTTTCAAGGCCATTTGCTGTCTTGTACTTACTTATTTAAGCAACGTTTACACTCCATCCTTCCCTCTGCTTTCTTTAAGTATTTTGCATTTCTAAAGATGCCCTTTTTGGTACTCAAATGTTGTAAATTGATCAGCAAAATATTAAAACCTAATAAGTGAAGAGTTAGAAGAGATAATTAGTATTGTGCCCAACAAGAAACAATTAAGATTATAGCATACTGTAAATATATAATATAAACTTTTAAAAAGTAATTCTTGACCAAAGTGGCAGGTTATTTTACTAACTTGTAACCTAACAGAAGTGTTTTTCATTTGAAACCAATACCCACTTTACACGCATCATTTGTCTAAACCTCCTATGTTGTTGATGATTTCCTTGACATTTTTGTAGGCTTTTGTTGTGTGAGGACTTTTTCTCCCCAGGGAGACATTGCAGGCATGCACGAGCACACACACACACACACACACACACACACACACACACACACACACAACTGCTCACTCCTGGATGGAGACCACCTACAAACCAAAGTTACAATCTCAGCAAAGTCCAAGTAGTTAAACGTGTTGGATTTTGGGGTTGACTTTCAGGGGTACAGATGATTCAAAAAGCAGTTGCATGCTTCCAGAAGTGTAACTCAGGAGATCCCTGACACTCCTCACACCCCAGAATCCCCTCTCCTTTTCACAGCACCTGCCAGTGGCTCCTGCAGCAGGTCATTCACCTCTGTGTCCTTGGATAGGGGCCCTGGTGAGAGTTTATGCTTTCCCTGATTTGTGATGTTGGCTGACTTTTTTTTTTTCTCGAGACAGGGTTTCTCTGTGGTTTTGGAGCCTGTCCTGGAACTAGCTCTTGTAGACCAGGCTGGTCTCGAACTCACAGAGATCCGCCTGCCTCTGCCTCCCAAGTGCTGGGATTAAAGGCGTGCGCCTCCACCGCCCGGCTGGCTGACCTCTTGGTTCTCATACATCTCCTGCCTCTGTCCTGTGAAAACACCGTGTTAGGGAGCATGTGATGTGTTATACAAAAGATAGCCATGATGGGGGCCACGAAGAAAGAGAGAAAAGTCCACAGTCCCAGAGTTCTCTACAAAAGCACGCCCCAGGAACCTAACTTTTTCCTCCTGGGCTCCATAACTAAAAGGTCCAGCTATTTCCTAACAGCACCAAAGGCAGGTGCCTAATCCTTTAGCACCACAACACTGGGGGATGTTTAAGGTCAAATCACACGATTTCTATGGAGAGAAATTTTCAGGCTATTAATGTTTTGGAAATTAAGAGCCCTTGACTGTTTCAATCCTTAAGGACATGTAGACACACGGAATATAATAAAAATGTCAAGTGGTTTTTCTTTGGCTTATTTTATTCCCTTAGTACAGCATGTGACTAAGCAATATATAGAATATAGAGCTAAGAACAATACAATATAATATATAAATTTTCTATTAACCATAGTGTCAATCAAAAGTGGAATTTTTATGAGTTTTTTAAGATTATGATTTATACCTCATGTATTTTCTATATTGTCTCAAACTTGTGTAGTTACAAAAATTCTATGACAACTAATAAAAATAATAAAATAACTTATAAAATTAGAATTGTGTCTCTGGGATTCATGGGATTACATTATCATTTAAATTTATCAGGCATGTAGTCATATAGAACTATAAAGAAAATAAATACGTACAATTGTTAATAATATTGGTTAGATAGTGTTTTTCTCTTCTGGGTTTTCTTCTCTAATATCTGTTAAAGGCATCATTAAACCGCTGCGATCAGACCACTTTGTAAAGAAAACTTCATTGAAACTGTTGTGCCAGTGTCATCAATGACATTAAAATTCACTTCAGATAAACACTCAGTACAGACCATACAGCCAGGAAACCATATGGTCTTTATGTCCTTTGCAACAAAATCTTGAAGATCCTTATCTTATAATTAAACTTGATAAAACACTCTTATTGATCCCATTCAAACGCTTGTGGGTTGCAGTCACCTTTGTGAGACTATGTGAGGAATGAGAGGACATTAGACTAAATTTCAAGACATGCGACCCCATAGGAAAAATATTAAAGGATCTCATTTTTATTGAATGTTAAAATGAAAAAAAAACAACAAAAACAAATCTGAAGTCACAGACATCTAGAATAGAAGGGTGTTTAGGCTTGGAGCCAAGAAAGAAGTTGGTGCTCACAGAGGGGTGGGTGCTCAAAGCCCAGAGTTGTGCAGAATCTGTAGGTGCAGAGAGCTCTTTTTACAGTGGGCTTTGTACTACACAGTACTGACTGTGTGCTCTGAGCCCGCTAAGACAGTAGTCCTTAGGTAGTTGAGAAAGAGAAGGGGGTTTGGGAGGAGGGAAGGAGAGAGGGGAAGGAAGGGATGGGAGGGAGGAGGGAGAAGGGAGAGGAGAGTCATGAACATTGCATAAGGATTTGAGTTAAATTTGGGTTAAATTGAAGACAGTTGAGTTGTCATTCCACACTGAATAATAACAGGAAAACATCATTCTTTGTACCTTATACACTTGTGTGTGTGTGTGTGTGTGTGTGTGTTTGCAAGGGAGTGTGAAAACCATGTATACATTTACAAAAGTAGGAAATAAACTTATCCATGGGCTGATTTTGGAAAACATATGGCAAAAATATATACTCGTGTACACAGAAATGTGGCCCTTTCTTCTGCATTTCAATGCAGCATCTCTGTACCCAGAGAGGATGTGGAGGCAAGGTTTTCACTGTGTGTAATTTCTTCCATATTAAACTGTGCATCGTCTCCTTCCGTGGGAGAATATTTAAGTGTTCTTAGGTATATATATATATATATATATATATATATATATATATATATATTAAAAGTACCTTTTCTCCACTCCCTCAACAAACAAGAACATATACCCATGTAGCTGTTAGAATTTCATGGCACTGAAGAGAGAGACAAACAGAAAGGCAGAGTGACATATTTGTAAGACTGTTAGTAGCATTAATTTTGAAAAGGCAGCATTAACATTTTACATTAAGGTATTATTCTTATGGCTTGGTGGTGGCTCAGTTGTTAAGTGCCTGCCACAAAATTGTGAGCACCTGAGTTCAGTCCTACAGAGTCCATATTATAAACAAACGAACAAACAAACAAACAAACAAAAAACAAGGCCTATAGCTGCAGTACTGAGGAAGAATTATTCTTGGAGCTTTTGCTTCAAATAGTAGCCCAAATCAGAAACCTCCTAATACCGTGAGAGACTCTTTCTTGAAAAAATAAGTGGAGAAAAATTGTGGAAAATACCATATCTCAACCCCTGACAACACACATACAAGCAGATGCATGCACAGAAAAAAGTGATTTTTCCTGAAGTGTAGTAGGTGATTTCCTCTATACTTCCAAGTAAGCTTGAAATAATGTTTATTTTTGTTTAGTTTGCACTTCAGGTTGTATCTGGATTCTTAACTTTACTTTCAAATATTTTCTTTCCATACATAAGTGTTTGTATGGGGAGGCTGCTTGTTCATTTCTAGCTGCCCAGAACCAAAATAACTACACAGAAACTGTATTAATTAAATCACTGCTCAGCCTATTTGCACTAGTTTCTTATTGGCTAGCGCTTACATCCTAAACTAACCCATCTCCGTTGATCTGTGTATTGCCATGTGGCTGTGGCTTACCAGCAAGATTCCATCACTTGGTCTCTGGTGGCAGCTACATGGCTTCCATAACTCCACCTTCTTTCTCCCAGCATTCAGTTTAGTTACCCAGCCTAGCTCTACTCTGCCCTATCACAGGACAAGGCAGTTTCTTTATTCATTAACCAATAAAAGCAACACATATACAGAAGGATTTCCCACATCATCATTTTCAGATTTTTCCTCTTAATAATCAAGGCTTTATATCTCATTTTTTGTTTTGAATTACTTATAATTTTCCAAGCACAATAATCCCGAATGTATTAATAAAATTATATTGTAGTTAAAATGAAAATGCTATGTCAGCAACTTTCAAGCGTGATACAAAACACAGACTTATAACATGAACCGTTGTTGTTTCTTTTTCAATAGGTTGCTCTAGTCTCCAGCAGAGGTGCAGAAATGCCATCGGAGACTTCTGCTCCTCCTCCATACCCCCTTCCTCCAGATGGAGGTTGGGGTTGGGTAGTAGTTTGTGCATCCTTTATCTCCATTGGATTTTCATATGCCTTCCCCAAAGCTGTCACAGTATTCTTCAAAGATATTCAGGAAATATTCCACGCTAGCTACAGTGAAATTGCATGGATATCATCCATCATGCTGGCTGTCATGTATGCAGGAGGTAAGGTTCTTAGTGTACACTGATTTCTGGAATAAGAATATAGTTCTTATGACCTCACCTTAACCATGTGCACACATTAAGACTCTTATTACATTATTGTTATTTTATTATATATTCAGTTTAAATCAATCAAAAGCATAATTATAATTGCATTTTTAATGATTTTTAATGATTAGCATCATGATCTGTTTGCTTCATTTTGAGTCTTGATAGGATATTTAGTGGCATGGTCTGCCGTTTTATCAAGAATGCAAGTGGATCATTTCCTGTTCAGTTTGGATTGAATGCAATATAATGTTGGAATTGTTTCTCGCCATTTCCATAGCTAGCCAAAGTGCTTTCTTTAAGCTGAAAAGGAAATGCTTCTGTTAGTTTATAAGCCCAGAATATACTCCATTTTGCACTGCCCAGAAGGACTGCTTGCATATGCTTTCTACACATATTCAAGTTTGTTCGTGGAATAATTCCTTAGTGCTTTAGGAAACCCAAAATGATGACATCGTTTTATTTAAGTGGCTGTTTCAAATTATCTTGTTAGAGTCCATGTTAAAACGAGAGTATAAGTCATGAGAGAACATGAATATATCAAGCCACCCCACATTGGAGTGTTAAATAATGGAAAGCCCTCATTATTATGTGATCTATTCTCAATAGTAGATCAGACTTTTATAGATTTTTTTTCATAAATCATCACTTAAAATGTAAGGGTATTTGAATTTTCATTTGTCCACTGGCAATTTAACTTCAAGGGGCAGTTATAGACTCAGAATATAAGGATTCAAAGGTATCGTATAAATCACCTAATATTTTTCATTATATAAGTAAAGAAAACAGAACATTAGCAATAGTAATTAATATTTATTAGAATTTGCTGTTGGCCAAGGCCTTGTTCCTCACTTGATTTGTGTGTTACTTCCTAATCCTCTTGACAGTCTAAGAAATGATTGTCATCTTTCTGTTATGGGACTGAGAACATACACTATCATGTATTCCCTGTGCTCCCCTCTTCTCTCTCTCTCTCTCTCTCTCTCTCTCTCTCGGCTAAACCAGTTGAAAACCCAATGCAATACTCTTGCCTTATAGTACCGACATACATTCTGTCTGGCCAAAGGCACATCAATTATTCTTTAAGATTCAGTCTCTCTAATTTATTACCAAAACAAGCTTTGATCCATAAATAATCTTAGTTTTTGTATATATGTGCATGATAAATGTGTTGGTATTAGTGTGGATTTTTCCACATCTTTGTATTTTAATGATTCTAGATTAATAAGACTGACATGCTTAAACTGTTGAGTTTTTATTTGATTATCAAAAGTATCATTTAAGTTCCTTTTGACCACATATTTGAAGAACTTTGCTCTAAAAAACACTTTCTGGAAATCAATTTTGGAGACTTGTTTTAAGGATTGTAGCTGTTATTTCTTATGTCTATATAGAAATTGTTAATATTGCACAGTGCATATTTTTCTTCTATAGCTCTGATATTCATTGATGATTGATTATTGGGACAACCTATTTTCCTTGACCTGGCAGGTTAAGGTAAATATTAAGATACCTCAGAGGTAATTTTTTTCCTGCCTTTTACATATAACTGAAATGGATGCCTCTAGAGACTGGATATCAGTCAATTGAGTTTGCACATCAGGTTCCTTTATGTCTTTAGTAATTTTCTGCTGAAAATATTGTTGACTAACTTAAAGTCAAGATGCAGAATTGATGTTGTTAAGGTTAACACCGGAGTCATCTTCTCCCAACCTTTGATGATGATGATGATGATGATGATGATGATGATGATGATGATGATGATGTTGGTAATCCCCATTTCTCATTGACTTCAAGACATGCAAATTCATTTCCTGCTCATTCAGTGCTCCCTGCGGATCCTGGGTTAGCACTCATTGCTTTTTGCTGTCCTCCAAACCCACGCCCTGTCACAGGCAAAGAGAAAGGGTACAACATCAATGATCGTCTGCAGTATTTAGTGCCCAGGCTTGAAATCTGTGAGCCCCTTTTCTCACTGTGTCCTACCGGTCAGAACTGATTATTGCCCTATACTGAGAAGGGACCACAATAATTGTGGTCATCTTAGAAGAGAAATGAGAAGTGAATAACACCTAGTAAGTCCTGGACAGAACTTCCTTCTCAACAGTCATTCTATCTGAGCAAAGGAGAGCTGGTTTACAGAGCTTCCATAGTTGTGGCACAGACTGTGCACTGGCCAGATCATAAAGGGGTGTAAGAATGATGAAAGGCATAATTTTAATTTATTTCAATATACTGTTAATTTTCTCATCTTACTTAGTGTGACATATTAATGAATATTTTTGCAAGACTATATATTTTATTTTATGTATACATCTATTTTTTATGCATACATCTATTTACTTTTAAAGAAGTGTGTAGTATAAATTTGAAGAGGCACAAAGGAGAACTCATTTTTGATACAGTGTCTCATGTAACTCATGGTGGCCTTGATCTCATTGTGTAGATGAGGATGGAAGGAAGGATGACACTGAACTTCTGATTCTCCTGTTCCCCACTTTCCAAGTATGGGTTATGTAGTTTGGGTGTTTAACACAGGCATAAAGGCTGGGTAAGTTCTCTACCAACTGGAACATATCACCAACACACAAAAGAAAACTCTTCAAGCTAATAAGTACAATGGTAATTTGATATTTACAATTTTAGAAAGATAATTAAAATAGAGATGTAGAAGAATAAATGATGTCTACATTGAAATGAATAGGTGTTTTATTTGTGGTTGTTTTGAGAAAATAGCTTAAGGCATACAAAAATCCTGTGTAATAACCAGTAATGCTGAGATTTTGGAGAGATACAGCAAAGTTCTTGGAATCTTGCCCCAAATCCTCAATTATCAGGGTTGCAGCATTTTGCATGACATTCCCGGCTATGTGGGAAATTATACTACCGTCTGGTGTTTGGCTTAAAATTATAAACACAACCTAAGGCCATTGTGATGTGGGATGAAAACCCACTAAACTGCAACACACCCTGCTGCATGCAGAGCTATTCATTCCCAGAGTTCCTCTTACAACCATGTTTCATGGTCTTATCCCTGTAACCAGGACTTAGTATTTGAACAAAAACGTATTTTGTAGTAGGCAAGCTAATGCACACCTGGTATCCCAGGACTCAGTAAGCAAAGGCAGGAGGATTGCCACAAGCTTAGAGCTAGCCTGCTCTACATAGCAAGTTCTAAGTCAGTGCTACATAATGAGACCTTTTCTCAAAAAAATAAAGGGCCAGGTATGGTGGCACTTGCCTTAAGTCTTACCAATCAGAGGAAGAGGTAGACAGATCTCTGTGAGTTCAAGCCCAGCCTGGTCTACATAGTGAGTTCCAGTACATCTGGAACTGTGTAGGAAGACCCTACAAAAAATGAATACGTAAATGAATAGGAAGAGCAAGGGAGTCTTCTGGGAAATCCAGTCTTCTAAATATAGCAGGATGCTGTGTTCATGAAAGCTTATCAATATGTATAAATGGAACATGAACAGTTTCAACATCAGTTGACATTTCAGTGTGGTTGGGTGAATTTTCCTCAAACTCTACTCCTAGATGGAAAGTTATACGCAATTAATGACTGATGAGAGACTTTTCCTCAGGGATGAACTTTCTAATTGATCATGGTCACCTAACACCAAGTGGTCAGCCCCATAAACATACACATACAGATAACACTAAATGGACTCTGCAGACACACACACACACACACACACACACAAACTCACACACTCTCTCACAAACACACAGACACACACACACACCACCACCACCTGCAGGGACACACACACACACACAAACTCACACACTCACACACACACACACACACACACACACACACACCAACAACAACAACAATAATTAAGATAAAAGAGGCCATGGATCTGAGTCGAGTAGAGAATGGGAAGAGCCGAATGGGAAGATATTGAGAGAAATAATGTAATATAATTAAAATCTATGGTAAGGATGCTACAGTTAGCTTTCCACAATTGATGACTTCCAGCAGGGGAATGGGAAGGAAAAGACTCTGTTCTCAGGCGCAGGCCACTGAGAGCTTGACCACACTCTGGTGACTATATAGATAACACAAATAGGACTTGCATTTATTTTGATTGTTGTTTTGTTGCGGGGGGAGGTCACAGGAAGAACTGGAAAGTGAGTGTGATTGGCACGTACAGTGTGAAATTCCCCAAGAATTAACAAAATTATTGTGTTGAAAAGATGTTTGTATTAATAAAGTATAAAATAAAACAAAAATAGAACTAAAGGAAGAAAAACATTGGTACTAATAATAGAAATAATACATTTTTACATTAAGCTATATTTTTTAAAATTAGAAATTTATATGTATATATAAATCAAAAATTAATAAAGGGGATGACTTTGAAAGAACAAGGAGTGGTATATTGAAGGGTTTGATAGGAGGAAAAGGAAGGGAGAAATTATACAATTATATTATCATCTCAAGAATAAAAGGAAAAGAATAATTTTATAAATCTAAGTAACAGGAAATGATCTGTCTAGACAACATTCCACACAAAATATGGTGTGACATATTTTTAATTATTTATTTATTTACTTATTTAAGATTTCTGTCTCTTCCCCGCCACCACCTCCCATTAATAAAACCGGACTCGCTGAACATAGCGGACAATGGGGACTACTGAGATCTCAAGAACAATGGCAATGGGTTTTTGATCCTACTGCACGTACTGGCTTTGTGGGAGCCTAGGCAGTTTGGATGCTCACCTTACTAGACCTGGATGGAGGTAGGTGGTCCTTGGACTTCCCACAGGGCAGGTGTGACATATTTTTGACAGCTTTAAAAAGCCCTCAAAGTGCACCAGCCTTTAGTGTTTTCTGATGAATGGGAAACTGACTAATCTAAAGGAGAATACACAGAAGAAAAGTGTAATGTCTAAGCCAGAATCAAAAAAAAAATATTTTCATTTAATTTATTTGTGATGGTGTAC